TTTATCCAGCCCTTGTGACTTATGCATGTGGGGAATGTACCATTGCTCAAGGAGGCCTTCCTGCTAGTGAAAATCTGGCCCTTGAGCCTTTTCGACTCCTGCCCTCTTCCAAATGACACCAATTGAACCTAGCTCTGTCTCATCTACATACTTGCTACATTTTTCAGAAGTAATGTAGGGACAGCTCTGGTCTCTCTGCTGAGTGTTTTGCCTCTGTCCTTGCTTATGAAGACGAGAAGCTATTTTTTGTTCTAATGGAGACGTGCATCCCTGGAACATGGAGTTTAGCAGAGGCTAAAGGCAAAACCCAGCTGTTAAAATAGCAGCACCACACCCCTGCATTACATGCTCTCAGGATTGCTTTGGATTTACTTTCAGAGTCAGGCTGGGATTTTCAAAGGAGTCTAAGGGAGTTGGAGCCCACAATTTTCAAAAGCACTAAGTGACTTGAGCCTAAGTCCCTATGGGAAACCCAGGGGACTTAAGCTCCCTAGTCATTCAGGCACTTCTGAAAAATTCCCCCCCAGCCCCTATTGACTTTCAATGGGAACTAGGCACCTAACTCATATAGCACCCTTTGGAAATCTCAGTCTAAACCTGAAAGGCCTTTCTCCATGTCTAGACTCACTGTGTTCCGTGGGACCGGTTGCCGTGCAAGTTGTTGCTCAGCACAGACAAGGCTATCACAGTCTGACCCAAAGGAAACATGCAACTAGCCTGGCCTCCCTTTGTAAGCACAAGTATTGAACAATCTCTTATCTCCTTTTTTCCTCCTAGCACCTTATTTTGATGCAGAACCTCTCTCTTCTGCCCCCAACTATTTCCAGCCACGGCAGTTTCCAAATTGCATTTCCTGTGAAGAAAACCCAAGTTATTTGGAGCAACTTGTTGATACCTATCTTCAGACAGAGCCGCCCGTGGACCCATCCCTGAGTGCTCTACAGACGTCTACCTACTATAACCCAGACACCTTCCAGTCAACCCCTCTCTGTTTTAACCAGAGCCTGGTAAGTTGGTTGCGTTCTTTACCGAGCTGGACTGGTGGTGTCGGTAGTTATAGCTTGCACCGCCTTGAGAGAAATCACCTAAGCATGTCCAGCAAGGAAATCAAGAAGGGAAACGAAATGGGCAAAATAAAAATCCCCACTTCCTGAGGCTCTGGGCCAGTTTTGAAGACTTAACGGTTTCATGAGCATGATTCATTTCCAACAATTCCACAGCTGGAGGGGAGAGTCTGGGATTCTATGTATAATTGGGGCCCTCTCATGCCCTCTCCCACAGGAGGAGAGGATATCAGGAACCAGTTGATCCTGACCTGAGGTTGCAGAATTGAGGAGTGTCACTTCCAATACACTGTTCTCCCCTACCTGTATTCCATGGAACGTCTTTAGGGACGGGCCAGGGAACAACCCCAGTCCACCCCCATGGATCCTAAGGGTTAAATTAATGCCACTGACATGTTCATGCTTAGCAAGATAGGAACTGCCAGACCAGGTCAGACGATTGCTCCACCTGGTCCAGTATCCTGTTCTGATAGCTCCCGAGGTAGGTGCAAGAACCCCTGAAGTGGTCAATAATGGAATAACCTGCCCACTATAAAGATCCTTCCTGATCCTCCTCAGGCAAAGGTTGGCTTATGCCATGAAGCAGGAGGGTTTAAAACTGCATGTAACTAGCAGTTTAGAAAACAGCTACGTCTATAACATGTCATTTAGTGACCTGCGTTCTACATGCTCATGGCAGAAGGTTTAAAGGACCAACACCAAACGTAGAGTGCAGTGTTCTCAAATATTCCAGTTAGTCATCAGAAAAAATTGTGGCAAGGCCAGTTATCCCAATCATGTCTTGGTAGAACTTGCTATTCTACACAAACGAGTATAGAACAGAACTTGGGCACAGCAACCCCTGTTCAGGGCTATCATCTGGCACATCTGGGACTTTTCTCTAGCATGCTCCCTTGTTGAGCACTAAGGCACCGATCCTGCAGCGACTTGTATCCAGATGGACCCCTCTGTCAGCACAGAAATTCACCGAAGTCACTGGGACTCGGGGTGGGTGCAGAGGTCCTTCTGCCCAGAGCTCACTGCGGGATCAGGGCAGTGCTTCCAGAAGAACCACACACACATTCTGACATCTTGATGAGTTCACAGCCGCTTTGTGAAGCCCATTGATTTCAAAACTCCGGCACTATCAATGGACCAGGGTAACTCCAGAATGGGGTGTGATGTGGTTGTGCATTCAGGGCCTTGTAATTCCGGGTGTATTTTTTCTGGTCTGTGTAATTATTTGAATGCCCATTATTACTGACTTCATTTAACACCACATTTTCTTTTCTCTCCATTTTTATAGGTTCCTGGATCTCCTGCCTCGTCTGACCTGTCCAGCCCATTAGACTATAGCTACTCCCCACCTCAGCTGCCTCCTTTTCCTCCACTGAACTACAGCCCTCTTTCTCCTCTAGACACCACGAACTACGGCTATCCTCTAGAGGAGTGCTCACATCCGCAGTACAGCTGCTCCCCCTCGGCCTGTTACTGCTCATCCTGTGCCTCAGAGCACTTGGATACATTCAGAGTATCAGAGTATTTCCCCTACCCAAGTGCAGACTGTATGGACTGTCCTGGCACCGTGACAATGGCAGATGACTTCTTTAGAAGGGATAGAAACTACGACATCTGCTACAGTTAATGGAGATGATGGTTTTATATATATGTACCTACGTACAGGTATCCAAATCAGCTAACTGCCTATGAACTATGCAAAACATCATTGTCTAACACAAAGTTCAGTTTACTCTACACTACTTAGCCTGGTATGCTCCAGGTGTTAATTTAGTCCTCCTGGGTAACAATATTTTAAGACTCACCGCATTGCTACCGTTGTCCTTCTGTCTTGTGTTTCATAAAAAAAAACAAAAACAAAAAAACAAACTAGCTTTCAGTGAATGCTTCACTAAACAAGTTTTTGTTATTACAAATAAATAATTTTATACAGATTCCTGGAGCACATTCCTTCCTGTTAAGTTTATAAAAGATTCTTTAGGTTATTCTGGGGAAATCTGATTTTTTTTCCAGACACCTGAGGGGGAGGGGGTGTCACTTCTGCTATAATCAAAGGTCTTGCTCTTGCAAATACATATTTATGTGAGTAAAGTGGGGCCTTTGCACATGAAGTCAATGGGCCTCCTGGGGTTTGAAAAGTTACTCAGTTGTGTAAGTGATTGCAGGATCAGAGCCAAAGTTTTCTCTTCCAATCCATTTCTTATATTTCCCATCTGCTGTGAAGGGTGAGACAATTAGTCAATAAACATCTGCTGTCCTTTTCACGGTACCTCTGTCACATGTCAGAATATACATGCATCCTTCCAACACTGAAGTACTCTCCTCCCAGTCTCACCAACTGTCATTGAAACAATTGTTCACTCCCCTTGGTCAGACTAATCAAAGACAGAACTTTTCCCAGGTGGTTGCTTTTATCTTAGCTACACCACAAGCAAAACGTTAGATTTTCTGCACCATTGAAAAATCATGGAATCTCTAAATATCACAATGGGGCTGGGCTCTCGGAAGGAAACATTCACCAGGAATCCTTACCACACAAAGGGCACGTCTTCACTACCCGCCGGATCGGCAGGTAGCGATCAATCTATCGGGGATCAATT